GGCTAGCATGATGCCCAGGTTCCGGGGCCAGCGTGGCATGCAGTGCCGGGGATCAAACCCACGACCTTGCGCTTGGCAACTGTTTTTGAAGTAAGTTATTTCTTGGAATTGTTTTTTAATGCAACTGGTAATAATTATTCATATATTTTGTATGTATGCATAGTATAGTAGTGTGTCAATTGCCCTTTTATCTTTACTCAGATTTTGAATATATTCTATACAAAATATATACTCTGTATTCCAAGTAGGTGCATATATATTCTATGTAAGACAGCATGGTTATGTTATGAATATACTTAACCATATTCCAAAAAAATCTCTAATTATATTTATTATATCTTTGAAGTCTCTGTATAAAAGTTTTGAGGCATATAGTCCAGTTGGGGTTCATCAAGAAGACTTGTCAGCACAAAGCGGCAAATGACCCAAAATGAAGGATGTGTGCGCTGGAACTAATTCTTCCCAGAGGATCCTGGGGGGACTGGGAACACTACAGGGGAAACTAGGACTTGAGGCTTCTGAGGAATGGGCAGTGGGAGGTTTTCCAACAGCAAAGAACACTCTGTTCTTTCTTCAAATGACTGTGCTCAAAAAAAAAAAAAAAAAAAAAAAAAAAAAAAAGCAAATAAAAAAATAAAAAATGACTGTGCTCCAGAAAGATGATGGGAACTGGATGTGGTGGCATATATCTATAGTCCCAGCACTTGGGAGGCTGAGGCAGGAGGATCATTGTGAGTTGGAGGTCAGCCTGGGCTACACAGTGAGATCTGTCTCAACCCCCTCCAAGAAAACATCATAAAAGTTATTAATGATATTTACTCTAAAAACTAAAATGTGATGGTTTATTTTTTAAATTTATTATTATTTTTTAATGTTTTTGAGACAGGGTCTCACTATGCAGTTCAGGCTGGTTTTCAACTCACTTTGTAGCCCAGGCTGATCTTGAGCTCACAGCAATCTTCCTGCCTCCCAAGTGCGAGGATTACAGGCATGCACCTCCAAGCCCAGCTAAAACATGCTGGTTTAAGAGAACTATTTTAATTTTTAAAATCTGTGAATGGCTTTTCAGCATATGCAAACCATCTTATTTTTGGAAAAGAGAAAAATCTGTCTATGCATAGAAAAAAAAGGAAAGTTCATATTCAATGTTAGCAGATTTCTCTCAATGACAGAAACCTCCTCTTCCCCCCCCCCTTTTTTTTTCCTTTTTTAGTGTTGGGGATTGAACCAAGGGCTTTGCACAGGCTAGGGGAGGGCTACCCACTGAGATACATCCCCAGCCCTTTTTATTTTGGAACATAGTCTTTCTAAACTGTTCAGGCTGGCATCAAATTGGTAATCATCCTGCTTTAGCCCTCAGCGTATCTGGGATTACAGGTATTCACCATCATTCCTGGCTCTGAGTTCTTTTTTTTTTTCTTTTTAAATTTTAAAGAGAAAAAAGGTAAACAAATTGTTAATACATTGTGTATTTTTATCTTTAAATTAGTTACACAGAGTATAAGATAATGGTATTTTGGGGCCAGGGAGATAGCTCAGTAGAATAACTGCTCGCCTGGCAAGTGCAAGGGCCTGAGTTCAAGGGCCTAATTTCAAGGGCCCGATTCTGCCAAAAAAAGTAAAACTTTCTTCTCAATGAACTAAGAGAAGTTCCCTTTTTTGTTTTCTACATTGTCTCATCCCAGTTTCTTTTTCTTTTTCAAGTTTCAACCTTGTCCCAGCACTTTTGTGTTATCTGCCTTGGGCATAAGACCCAGACTAAAGGCTTTTTTCTCTCTCTCCATGCATTTAGTACAGGGTCTATAAGGTCCTACTATGTAGATTGGACTTGTAGTGATTCTCCTGTTTTCAGGCTCCCAAGCACTGGGATTACTGGTGTGCCACCATGTCCAGTCTCAATCTTCATCTCAGCACGCCCTGGGGGCGGGGCCTGCGTGGCAGGTCAGGGAATGGAGCCCCTAGCACTGCACCGTGTTTGCCTAAGCAGGTGCTTTAACCTGCTGAGCTATCTGGCTGGCCCTTTGGGAATTTTTTTTTTTACTAAAGGCTTTTAAAATAACTAGTTTTTCTTTTTTTTTTTTTTCAGAACCGGGGATTGAACTCGGGCCCTTGTGCTTGCCAGGGAAGTGCTTATTCTACTGAGCCATCTCCCCGGCCCCCAACTAGTTGTTTCTTTTTACAATATCTAGTTTTGGGTTTTTTCTTTTTCTTTCTTTCTTTCTCTCTCTTTCTTTCTTTCTTTCTTTCTTTCTTTCTTTCTTTCTTTCTTTCTTTTTTTTTTTTGGCAGAACTGGGGATTGAACTCAGGCCCTTGCGCTTGCCAGGGAAGCGCTTATTCCACTGAGCCATCTCCCTGGCCCCTTTGGTTTTTTTCTAGTGTTGCTTTTCTTTGTGGTACTATACACTGAATCAAAGGCCTTTGCACTGAGTTACATCACCAGCTTTTTAATGTTTTTAGGGGCTGGGGACATAGTTTGATGTCTTAAGTGCCTGCCTGGCAAGCTCAAGGTCCTGAGTTCGACCCCTGGTAATAAAAAAAAAAAAAAAAAGTTTTTATATTTTAAGTTAGTAAGATTGCCCGGGCTGAGCTCAAACCTGTGAATCTCTTGCCTCAGCCTCTCAGAGTGTTGGGATTACAGGTGTGTATCACCATGCCTGATTTTATTCTTTCGGGTCATGTGTGGTGAGGCATGCCTCTAATCCCTGCACTCCGGAGGCCAGCCTGATACATAGTGAAACCCTATTTCAAAAAGAGAGAGAGAGAAGAGGCAGAAAACAGGAGGATCACTACAAGTCCGAGCTGCATAGTGAGACCCTGCACAAAAAAGAAAGAGAGAGAAATAAGTGTTATTCTTTTTAATGTTTACCTAAATTTTCCATGACAGTCATGTACAGGAACTCACTTAGCATGTACCAGGCCTCAATACCCAAAATAGCAGCAGGTAAATACATTTTCCATAACAAATACATATTACATTTGCAATTCAACTAAGTTACTTAGAAAGAAAAGTACTTTTGAAAAGCAGAAATAAAGAAGAAGAAAAAAAAGAAAAGCAGAAATAAAGCATAGAAGTTCATAATCATTAAATAAAAAGGTTACTAGGCTTCAGGACACGCACCCACAAAGCTTTAGTCTGGGTCTTGTGCCTGAGGCAGGTAAGGCAAAAGTGCTGGGACAAGGTTAGGAGCAATGAATGAACTCCTCTGACAACTCACATCAAAATCCTGCTTCAGTTACGGGCTAGAAGAGGCCAAAGGCAGGACAGTTAAGTGCAATGAATGAATGGCCTCAGCTGGGGCATGCATGTGTGAGCAACATGCCACAAGGGGCATTATTGGGAAACTGGAAAAACTGACTGTTACCTAGGTAACACTCTGAACATGAAATCAATCATTGTGAAATATACGCAAAGGCGCTACAACTTCATCTCAGCTGAGATGTGGCAAGGTGTTGGAAATCTGGGGCAGCGATGGGCAGGAGTATTGCCAGTTCCAGGCCAACCTGTGCTGCACAGTACCCTGACTCAAAAAACAAAAACATTTGGTGTGGTATGTATGAGAATTCTTTGAACTAATTTTATAGTTCTTATATTTCAAAATAAAAAATTGTCAAGGTTTTTTTTATCCTAGCTATAGTTTAGCACATTGATGAAACTACATTGGCCTGGCAAGTGCAAGGGCCTGAGTTCAATCCCTGGTTCTGCCAAAAAAAAAAAAGGAAAGAAAAAGAAACTACATTCATTGTACAGCAATTCTGCTGGCTGTGGTGGTGCATGCCTGAAATCCCAGCAGTAGTTAGGAGGCTGAGGCAGGAGATAGTAAGTCCAGTCTAGACTACAGAGTTCAAGGACAGCCTAGGCTACAGAGCAAAGACCTGTTTGGAAACACACACACACACACACACACACACACACGCACGCACGCACACGCACATGCACGCGCGTGCGCATGCGAAGCCACACACACCTGTTATCCCAGTACTCTGGGAGGCTGAGGAAGGAGCAATGCAAGTTTAAACCCAGCCTGGACAATTTAGCAACACCCTATATCGAAGGAAAAAGTAAAGGACTGCAGATGTAGCTTAGTGCAAAGGCCCCAGGTTCAATCCCTAGTATGAGAAAAAGAAAAAAAGTTGGACTGTAAACCCAAACTGACATTACTGAAAAGTCCTCAAGTTGTGAACTTATGATGTAAGTGAAAGGATTGGACTTTTAGAAATCAAAAATTAAAGAGACACCTGCTGCCCCAGTGAGAAGCTAAGACCTCTTGCTGGCTTCCCAGCCAAGCTCTGGGAAGACTCTGGTCCTACTTCAACAGTACTCCTCCTGGGACAGAACCAAGATGCTCAGGGTGGTGCTGTCCTTTCACTGCCGTCTACCCACTTAAGCATCACTCCCCCACCCCCCAGCACACAGCCTTGTTCTTTACGGTCACCAGCAGAGGGTGCTGCAACTCAGCCAATGGACACAGCAGCACCCAGGGGCTAGGAGGTGGACTAGGTGGAAATGCTGAATCACCCAGCGGAGTCTGTAATGATCAGACCACGTCTCTATCATGTTTCTGTATCTTCCCCTGGACTGAGAGCTCTGACTGTGCCTGATTCATCTTTGTCTGCAGTCTCACAGGGTGCCTGACACGAAGCCACCCTTGGCTAATAGGAGCTGCAGTTGCTATTCCTGGCACTCAACAAATGAGTATTCAGCAAGAGTGGCCAGATGTCAGGCTCACTGGGATTGTCAAGCGGCTGTGATGCCCCCTCATCCTCTTACAGGTCACTTTTGCATTTCAAGCTGTTTTTCTTTCCTTTAGAGCACCTTTCCTTTATGAGATCCATGCAAATTAGGTCCTGAAAAATCCATCCATCATCTGCATCCTTTCTACCCCATCCCTTCTCCATCCAAAGCATCTACCTCGACACAGACAGCGTCTCAAGACAGCCATCCACCCAGCTCCAGAGCGGCTTCTGAGGCCCCCCGACCCAGGTCAAGGCAGAAACTCACACTCCAGCTGGTACCAGTGGCTGGAATCGCCACTGTTCCTCCTCGTAGTCCAGGAAGAGCCGGTTCATAATCTTGTTCTTCTCCTCAGGGGGAATGAAGTTCTCAATGATTAGATACCTGGATGAGATGGGGATAGAGGGAGTGAGAAGCCCTGTGGTGTAGGAAAAGGCTGAAGGATTAGAAGCGGCCCAGAAAGTTGGGGGAAGGGAGCCCTATAGAAAAGCGGGAGCTTGAAAACTACTGGCTTTTGGGCTTTTTTTTAAAAAATGTATTTAATACAAGGTCTACAGGGTCTCACTATGTAGATTGGACTCATAGTGATTCTCCTGTTTTCAGCCTCCCAAGCGCCGGGATTATAGGTTCACACTACCACACCAGGCTCAATTGCCATCTTAGCGCCCCCGGGGGTGAGGCTGGCAAGGTGCTCTGCCTAAGCAGGCACTTTAGTCTGCTGAGCTATCTGGCTGGCCTTTGGGCTACTTTTGATTGACACCCAACATGCATTTGGGAGAGGGGGCGTCATCAAAGTAAGGAAGTAGAAACTCCAGGGCCGGGTCTGCCCTTCCTCCTCAGAGCCACTTGAGTCCTAAGACTCATGGATCATGGGTGGGCACAAAGTAAGGTCAGGCCTTCAGGAAGGGGAGGAGTCCATTGGGAGACCCTGAGGCTGCGGGGACCCAGGCCTGGAGGAGGAGATAGCCCTACTTGAGCTTGAGTTCGCGGGTCTGCTCGTTCTGTGCTTCCTCCAGGTCCTGCCGCACGCGGATGTACTCATCATGTTGGTCCTGGATCTCCGCCTTCACCGCCTGCAGCTTGGCATAGAGCTGGGAGGGGACAGGTGCATCTCAGAGGCTGCTCAGACTGGGGCCTGCACTGAGGCTCCAGTCACCTGGCTTGGGCCCCGGGGGCTGCAGGCTCAGGTCCACAGGCTCAACCTAGGGTCGGTCTGGGAGTCACAGTTTGCTTTCCGGTGCCCACCCTACCAATGGATCAGAGAGCTATGCAAAGGGCTGCTTTGTCCCCTACACTGAGGCCTGCTCTCTTTCAGCAGCTATTAACATTAGATGCCCAAAATACGAGGGAGCTTTTGGTCCAACACCCTATTTTTATATTTATTTATTTAAAATAGGGTTTCATTATGTAGTTCAAACTGGCCTTGAGTTCACTATGTACCTCAAACTCAAGGCAATCCTCCTGCCTCAGCCTCCAGAGTGCTTTGCCATACCCACAACGTGCTATTTTTATAAGTTGAGGAAGCTGAGGCATAGGCCAGCTTGTAAATTCACAAAACTAATCCACAGAAGAGCCAGAGCTAGGGCTCCAATCTCACTTGAAGTCCCAGGCTGGGGTTGGAGGACTATTGAGTGGGGAGGTGACCTATTACACTCTTGCCTGGGTTCTCAAAAAACAGGGGTGTGGAGAGAGGTACTGGCCTGCTTGGTCCACCTCTAAGCCACTGAACAGCATTCCTGGTGACTGCCATGGTGGCTGGGCCACAGCTTGGCCAGTCCTAGGGCTGCCACATCAGCAACCCTGGGGAGTCCCAGGCTCCTCCCTATCAAAGCTAGAACTTCGCTGCTTCCTGTTTTAGACCTCTCTTATGGACAAGTCTTTCCCCTGCCATGGTCTGCAGGTACTGGTGACCAGAAATTCTTGTTCCTTGACACAGTGTAGAGGGCCTTGTTTTCCTTTCCTGGACTCTCCCAGGCTTGAGTCTTTCTCAGACCCTTTTTTGGGTCCAGCTATCAGGGCCAGGGATGTAGCTCAGATGCCCAGTGTCTGCCTGGCAAGCACAAGGTCCTGAGTTTGATTCCTGGTACAAAAACGAAACAAAACTGTGTCTCATTGGTGACACTGTAAGCAGGGAAGGAGTTACTCAGGACCATTATGCTGGCGACTCTCAAGAACAGAAGCAACAGCTTATTGCCTGAGAACCCTGCAGCCCAAGAGAAAAGGCTCAGTTCTGCCCAACACCACTCTCCTGCCTTTCTCACTCCTCCCTCTGCCAGCCCTGGAAATACAGCTTGACAGTATTTCTACTCTGTCCATGCTTAGTAGGGAAGGGTCTCAAAGCACAGACTTCTGGGGGCCCACCCTGCTGCGGCTCTCACCTTCTTGAGTTTCTTGGTTTTGACCTCCACCTCCTGTTGCAGGGATGTGTAGGTGCCACGAAGCTCCATGGTCTCCTCGTCACGGAGCATCATCTCCTGCTGCATTTCCCGCTCGCGACGTTTCTAGGCCAAAGTGGGTCAAGAGGGCCTGGTGAAAGGATACCTGGGGACTGGCTCCCTCTGCCTGTCTTGGGACCTGGCTTCACTGTGGCCCTGGGTGCCAGGAGACGGATCCTAAGTAGAGTAGTGACACGAAACCCTCTGCTCTGTTCTCACGGCCAGGTCTGTGCCAGGCACTGTGCCCGGAGGAGAGCCCAGGCTTGGACCTGGCAGACTCCAGGGGAGTCATCCACACTCATGGATGCCCATCACACTGCTTTCTACGCTGCTCATCTACCCTACACAGCGCTACAGTTGACCAGGAATCAACAAATCATGTTTCTTGACTTAGGAACTAGTCATACAGTTGCAATGAACTCAAGTCCTTGGGGACGGCCCAGGAGTTAGTACCCAGGACCTTGTGGGGCTAACACCATGGAGAGCCACCATCTCCTCCCACCCACAGTAGCCATGCTTCTGCTGGTGGAAGGACCCTGGGCTGGTACATGGAGGGAGCCCAGAGTGCCTTGCCACATTAGTTCCCAGGACCCCAAGTCCATGATGGGTGAGTAACCACCCAGAGACAGCACCTCCCAACCCTGTGGCCCAACAGGACCTGAACCCAGGCAGCCCTACCTGCTCAGCAATCTCCTGCCTCTTCAGTTCCAACATCTTCTGCTGCTCATTGGTGTGATCCATAATGTTCCTGCCTCCAATGAGCAGCTTGCTCTCCATGGCCTGGGAACACAGAGGGGTGCAGAGCGTTTGCTGAGGGCTGTAGCACCCCCAGCTTGAGGTGTTGTTCCTCTGTTCTGGGGTCCTTCTAGGAGGGGATAGAAGATGTGTCCCAGATAGGGCCTCACAGAATGGCCCTTGAGGAGAGCAGTCTTCCCCTCCAGCCTCTTCACCTGCAGGCAGCACAAGGCTCCCATTGTCAACAGGACCATTCAGGAGCCAGGAGAGGGCACCCCTCTGGGAATACAGGGCACCTGATCTGTTTGCTTTGGATACAGAGAAAAGGCTTGCTTCCCAGGCTTGCTTGAGGATGGGTGGCAATCTAATCCCGGGGACCAGGACCCCTTGGGGCTCAGTAGGGGAGGTCAAAGACAGCCACCAGGCAGCCTGGCCTTTGCACTCAGCGGCTCCTGACTCAGAAAACAGCTCTCCATTTGGGCAGTAAGAAGGGAGCTAACCTTTGGTCCACAAGGAAAGCAAGAGAAAAGCCAAAAGGAGAAAATGTGCAGCAAGAAGTGGTGACAGGAAGCCAAAAGGCAGCCAGGACTTTGGAGGTTGCTTAAAAAGCATGGGCTCCCCGATGGGGCAGGAGGCCAAAGGTGTTATGCCTCTGGCTTCCCGCATCTGTAGTATGGGAACGCTGCAGCCTTCCTTGTAGCATGACTGGAAAACATTTCCCAGAGTGCTCTTAGGTGCTACATGAAGCCCTGAACAGCCTTGACCTTTATCCTACCCTGAGCACAGGACAATCTCTCTCCCCATTTAACCAACTGAAGACATTGAGAACAATTAGATCAAGTCCATGCAGCCAGAGGGTAACAAAGAGGTGAGGTTTTTTCCTTTATTTATTTTATTTTTTATTTTTGCAGAACTGGGGATTGAACACAGGCCCTTGTGCTTGCCAGGCAAGTGCTTATTCTACTAAGCCATCTCCACAGCCCCCAAAGAGGTGAGATTTGCACCCAGCCCCACATTCATTTTGAGAGGCCTCTGCTCTGTGACAGCACTTGGCAGACACTCAGAAGATGGTTTTGGAATTGGAAGTTGCAATGATAATGGATTTTTGCAATTTTTTTTCTTCTCTGTACTGGGGATTGAACCTAGCAGAATCACATTGAGTTATAGCTCTGTAGTCTTCTTTTTGAGACAGGAACTCACAATTTAAGTAGCCTAGCCTGGGCTCATACTTAGAATTCTCCTGCCTTAGCTTCCCAACTTGGATTTGTGTCAATTATGACTTCATAAAATGGACTGTCACTGTTGCCAGTAAATTGGTTGGCACCCCAGGAAGCCACTGGTCCTCTGACTTCATCACAGGCCTCCTTCCTACAAGGCCAACATCACCTTGAGCCACAGGAAGCAGCTGGCTCTCCCCACTGGAATTCTTCCCAGTGGGACCAGCTGACCTACCAAGGTCTCCCAAAGCAGAGCGTGTTGTTGGAAGAAGGGGAGCAGGTAGCCTCTTGTGACAGCCACATCACTGGGGACAGAAGAGAGGAGTTAAGTGCTGCCAGCAGGTGTTCCGCAAAGTCAGAGGACAGTTAGAGAGGCAGGAGCGCCATGCCAGCCCTGGGTAGCCTCAGAGGCCTTGGAGAGGAGGGGTCTCCAGAATGACTGGCTCTGCTCACTGGTGCACCGGTGCTACCTACAGCCCGTTATGACCTCTCCATCATCCTCACCACCGGGTTACATGTTTTGTTTTTCTGGTACTAAGAATTGAACTTAGGACCTTGTGCTTGGCAGGCAGGCACTTGTGCCACTGAATTATATCCCCAGCACCAGGTTAGATATATAACTCATTTTTTTTTTCTTTTAGGGGTACTGAGGTTTGAATCCAGGCCTCATGCATGCTACGCAAGTATTCCACCACTGAGCTACAGCCCTAGCCCTTTTTATTTTATTTTTTGAGATAAGATTTTGTTAAGGTGCCCAGGCTGTCCTGGAACTTGTGATCCTCCTGCCTCAGCCTCCCACAGCTGGGATTGCAGGTTTGCCCCACCATGCCCAGTTCTGACCTAATCAACCTGCTGCTTTCTTGCTCAAAGTTGGCATTTGGAGGACTTTGAAACTAAATGCCTCTTAAGCTCTGACATCTTTGGCAGTTTACTACATTTGGCCAGCCACTAATCCCATCAGGCAAGTTTCTTAGTGTGGCCCCTACCACTCCCTCCTTTCTTTTGGATACCTGCAGACTTCACTGAAACCTTATCTTGCCTGGGCCACTGCTATGGTTTGCCTACTGCCTCAGTGTCATTCTCTACCTGTCTGTCTTCCACATGGCACCCAGAGGACCCCTGAAAAATGCAAGCTTGAATCATGGCTCCTCTGCTCTAAACAGTTCTCCATCCTGCAGATGGAAACTCCAGGTCTGCAGCAGCCCCAGGGCACAGGTGCTGGCCTAGCACCACCCTCCGGCCCATCAATCTCCTGACTACTCACTGCCTACAAGTGTTCTGTACCCAGCTCCCTCTGTGCCATGGCTCATCACAATGCCCTTCCTCCTGCTCTACATCCACCTGGAAAATGGCAGCTTATCCTGCAAGACTAGCCTGGAGCACCTTGGGAAAATTTCCCTGCTTCCCCTCAAATCTGTTCTTTCTAATCTCAATAATTGGTACATATTCCTGCTATTTTCTTTTTTCCCATAACAGAATCAGTATTTGTCTATACCTTGCCTCTCTTGTGTGTCCTTCAAGGCAGGTATCATGTTTCACTCATGTAGGGACCCTGGGGCCCATGACAAGGGCTCAGTAAGTGGGTGATGAGCTTAAAGGCATCTTGGGTAGTCTCAGAGCGATTCCAGGTCTTCTTCTGAGGTTCTTTTGACTAGAACAAGCCCAGGTCTTTATTTGATCTTCTTCTTTGATGGGGTACCCCCACCCATCACAGGAGGGCAGGAGGGACTCTGCAGAGGAAGCCACCTTCTGCTGAGGAGAAGGAGAACTGATGGTTCTAACTATCAGGAAACAGCATCTTCAGTGCCCGGGCTTCCAAACCTGGGATGCAACTGTGCATTTCAGCCCTGAGTCCTTGCATTTTCCTCAGCATTTTATTTGATGCTAGCAATCATTTTTCTTTGTTACCTAATAAACACACCAGCTCTCACACTCTGGTAATCACCTAGGAAAAATTTCAAACCATCCAGACCTAGAGAATCAGAAACTGTGCTATATCTCTATTACCATGTTTGTTCAAGTGCAGGATAAAGTATGAGAAGATTTCTTTCATGGGGCACTACCAACACCATCATTACTTTACCCTCTTTGAGACGGGGCTTCACTCTGTAGTCCAGGTAGGCTGGGACTCACTACGGTATCCCAGGCTGGTTTTGACCACATGATCCACCAGCCCTGGCACCTTAAGTGTTGGGATTACAGGTGTGTGCCACCATACCCAGCACTATTTTTTAAGACATTTTATTAGCACACAGTCACACACAACCATTTTCATATGGTCTGTGGCTAGGTTTTTGCTTGTTTGTTAGGATTTTGTTTTGATTTTTTTGAGACAGAGGGTCTCACTATGTGGCCCATGCTGGTCTCAAACGTATAACCATCCTGCCTCAGACTCTTGAGTTCTGGGCTTATAGGCATGTAGCATAGCACTCAGCTACACCATTATTTGCAATGATTGCTCAAATAGGGTAGCAATCCAGCCAAGGTTACATCATGCTATTAAACTTGAGTGGAGCATCCAGATCCAGACCTGCCTGGCTTCATAGCCCAACGCTTTCCTATTGCAGTCACTGAGCTGAGCTACTTTAGGAAGCAGGACCAGATAAAGGAAAATGGACATGTTTCCAGCAGGAGAAAGTCATGTCTGACTAATCAGAGAGTTCCTCCAAACTGGGACAAAATAGGTTACTATAGTGCACAGGGGCCAGAAGTTGAGACATTAAAATGCTCCTGGCAAGCCTGTACCTCAGAGATTACTGGAAATTACTGGAAGGGGGCAAGGAGTTGCAGAAAACGGAAGTGGATAGGGAAAGGAACAGAATTATTTCAGGTATTTCTCCAGATGGAAAAGATTCACAATCTTAGATGACAGGACTGATCTCTGTTGAAAATGTCCAACTTCACATACGCCCCAAATCCTTCCAGATGACAAAGAACATGAAACTCTCCAGGCTATGTGAGCTTATGAGCTCGGACAAGGAGGAGGGGGAAAGCAGGTGAGCTTCAATTACCTTTGTTTATTTTGGGGTGAAATGATCTTAATTCCCAGATATGAATCAATGGAACGGAATAGAGGACGTAGAAACAATCCTGGGCACATGCCACTATCTGATCTTTGACAATGTTCTGCATCCTTGGCCATTGGAGAAATGGAAATTAAAACAACACTGAAATTCCATCTTACTCTAGAAAGAATGGCTATCATCAAGAAATCAACCAGTAACAAATGCTGGCAAGGCTTCTGGGGAAAATAAACCTTTCTACATTGTTGGAATGAATGTAAACTAGTACGTCACTATGGAAATCAGGTATGAGGGTTTCTCAAAAATTTAAAACTAGAAATTTCATTTGATTCAGCTATCCCCCGTCTAGGTCTCTTCCCTAAAGAGTTAAAGACATCATAATTCACAATAGGAATCCTTGGAAGTGGCCTAGATGTTCATCAACAGATGAATGGATAAAGAAAATATACTCTGCCATAAAAGAGAATAAACAAGTGATCTGTAGAAAGATGGATGCACCAGGGAGGCACCTTGAGACCATAATGTTAAGTGAAATAAATCAGACATCAGCTTCAATATTGCATGATTTCAATTCTATGAGAGACCCAAAGTATAAATAAAGAGCACAGTAAAAGGTATATGATAAGAAACAGGGAGGCAGATTTTTTGCAAATGAGAAGGGAATCAAGAGACGGAGGTGGGGAGGGAGCAGAAGAGAAGGGGATGAGAAAAGAATTGAGATGTGTCGGGCACATGTACCAACTCTCCTCAAGGAACGTAGTCATTTTGTTTTGCAAACATGTACTCATAAAATGTAAAAACTGAG